AATAGGACCGACCCTTCGGCAATTGCTCCCACGGAAACAGCTCACGGAGGCAAAGGTGTCGCCGAGGTTGGCTACGGAGCCAGCTACTTTGAGTTCGAATCCTAATCCATGCTTCCAATTTGAGGGCAAGGTCGGAGCTTGCTTTCCCTCTTTTACTCTATAGAACGGGGCCACCAGGCTGCCGCTTCCTCTGGGAGTGGAGGGCTCCCCGCCCAGTAGCAGTGCCGATCCTTTAACCTTGAAAGCGTGCAAGGGTGGTTCATTACCTTTCCTGGATGCGGGTGCTGTAGCCTGGTCCTACCGAGGAGGGGGAGGTGGCGCTTTGCAAAACACGTCCGTCACACGCCCTCCTTCACTTGCCAAGCAGCCCCCTGGCTCCTCCTGGGTGCCTGGCTCGGGGTTGGCGCTGGGGGTTCCCTGGCCACCTAGCCGTGGATCTGCTCGGCCCAGGGCCCAAGCCTCGGGGGTGTGGTGTGGTGTGGGTGTGTGTGTGCCTGTGCACAGAAGCGCACTGGGTGTGTGTGTTGGGCCAGGAGAGACCCAGCTGCCCAGCTTTTCTGGCCCACGGTAGGCGGTGACCCGGCCCCGGGCCCGGAGGGCGTCTCGGCCGCCTGCAGGCTAACGCTGTCTGAACCCGGCCTGACCGAGAAAGGGAGGACCGACGAGGCGCCTGGTCCAGGGCGTCTTGAAGGTATTGTGTTTAATAAATCCAGGCGAGACGCATTACTTGCTCTCTACCCCCTCTCCTCTTGGCTCCCAAATCGAGACCTGCTGTGGAACCCCCAGTTTACGGGGTCTTAAACCCCTTCTACTTTGATTAGCGGCTTCAAAGCGCTCCCTTTAAAGTTCACCCCCTTCCACCCTGCTTTTGTAGACCTCCCCTCCCCCCCTCCTAGACGACGACTACATCGACGAACGCTAAATGCGAGTTTAAATGGGGGGGGCAGGGGGGTATTCTCCGACTTCCGCGTGAACGTGAGCTGTTCCAGGCGTCCACAAGAGTCGGAGAACCGTGGAGTTTGGATTTTCTTTTTTTCCTTCCCTTCTTCCTTTCTCTGTGTGTGTGTGTGTGTGTTTTTACCTTTTATTATTTAAATTGATACGTTTCATTACTAGGGAGAAAAATAAAATATTCCTTTGATACACAAAATCAAATTGATATTTAGCCTCTGCTTACTTTTTTATGCATGGCTCCTTTATACCACATGGTAGTGACAGATTGTTTGAGCTGGAAGGAAAAGCCATTCAAAGCTAATTAAGCAGCCATTCCAAGCACTATTTGCAAGCGGGAGGCTCAGAAGCCTCGGCATTTGTCAGCGCTCCCCCACCCCGCGTGGTTTTGACTGACAGCTCTAGTCGCGGACTGACAGCTCTCGGCGGCTTCACCAATCAACGGCGGAAAGCTACCTCGGAGGCGTGTGATTGGTCTTTCGGGCTTGCTCCGGGGAGGAGCTGGCGGCCCCCACGTGGGGCCGGGAACGAGAAAGGGGCGGGGCGGGTAGGAAGCGGGTGCGCCCACCCGTGACGTAAGGGGGAGGGCAGAGAAGGGGGGGGTGCGAGGGAAGGAAGCTCCGAAGAGGAGCCATTTTGTGTCTAATGAATGCTGTGGCCAGATGCTCGCGTCTGTCGATCGGGGCTTCTCCCCACCCGCCTTTACGGTGCGCGCTGCGCACAATTTATGTTTTTATTTAGGAGAATAAATAAGTGAGTAGGAGAGGGTGATTCGAGGCTGGATGCCGGAGCGGGAGCGAGAAGGTTCAACTCTGAGCCGGGCGCTCACGTGTAACTCCCTGCGCACCGGCCTCCGAGCCAGCAGCGCTTCATTAAGATGCCCAGGCGAGCCTCTGGCTCCTGGTTGCTGTCGTTAGGTGCCTTAGAGTGGGGTTACCGCTCACAGAGACCCTGTGTACAACAGAAAGAAGAAACAACCACAGCAAACACTGCCAACCCTCCGGGTTGTTGCGTGTGAGCCCATTGTGGCAGCCGCTGTGCCAATCCATCTCGTGGAGGGTCTGCCTCTTTTTGGCTGACCCGCTAGCAAGCATGCTGTCCTCCCCCAGGAACTGGTCCCTCCCGATAAGGTGTCCAACGTGTGTAGGGAGTCTCCCCATTCTGGGCCATGCCCTAGTCTAAACAGCCTTCTGGCTGCGCTTCTCCCAAGACAGATTTGTCCCTGATTCTGGCAGCCCATGGACTGTATATTCGATATTCTTCGCCAACCCCATAATCCAAAGTCCGTCGATGCTGTAAGGCTCTTCCTTGTCCACTGTCCATCTTTCGAATGCACGTGAGGCAGCTGAAAACACCGTGGTTTGGATCGGGTGCACCTTAGTCCTCAAGGTCACAACTTTACGTTTTTTAACATTAGAAAGAGGCCTTTCCAGGCAGATTGGCCCAAAGCTGTAAGTTTCCTAGGGAGGGGGCCAAATGAATAAGTGGGGTGGAGCGCACCCCCTTCTGACGCCCACCCAGGGACCGCCTCCCAGGCCCGCCTGGGTCCTCTGACCCAACCTGCCAACACCTGCCACCTGCCTCAGGGTTCTGGCTGATTTCTTAGAGATCCTGGAAGGGGGTGTCGGGGGCCCACCTGGCTCTGCCCACCCAGAGCGCCCACGAGCGTGTGGAGCGCTTCAGCTTCAGCCTTAGGGCCCCTCAGAAGGCCACTTCCCTGGGGTCGTGCGACCTGACTTAACCCGGAGAGCAAGCGATAAACGCCTGTGGGTTTTCAGGCACGCTGGTCCCAGGAGTGCAGTGTTCGGTCCGATCCAGCAGGTCTCCCAGGGGGCCTGGAGCTAATGGGCGTCGGAGCCTCCCCGAGGGTTGAGGCTGGCGACGGCGACCCCCACAGACGCGCGCTTGCTTCCCCCAAAGGTTTCTCACTACCCAGGGCCACTGACTCGAGCTGGCCCGGTAACCCGGTCCGGACTCCGGTGTCGGAGCGGTGGGTGCAGGGAAGGAAGGGGTGTAGCTGCCCCCGTCGCCGATAGAGCCCAGAGTGGGGACAGCCCCGAGCTGAGCAGGTTGTCGGAGGGCAACCCGGCCTTTCCATCCGCATTACCCGCCAAGCAAGAGTTCTCAGACTGCTGGCAGGCAGCCGCTGCACATCAAAGACGCTGTTTATTTGGCTTTCTGAAAAGAAGGCGAAGGAACAGAGCTAGAACGCTGCCTGGGGAGACGAGTAGGGGGTGGGGGCGGGACGTGGGAAGGGATAAAGAAGGGGTACCCCCGATTCCGAGCAAATTTTTGAGGGGGGGTTTGGTTAGGTAACTTTGGGAGAGGCAATTTTATGGGTCCTAAATCTTGTGAAGTGAAAACATTAAAGTGACAAAGTGATTCGGCTTGTTTTATAGTATCTAATTGGGCCGCTTCGCAGACCTAATGAGATTAAAGGGAGGAATCGTTGGTCGCCGCAGCAGACTGAACTGGTACGTTACTGGCAGGCACAGGATTTTAGGATTGTTCAGCTTCTCTTTTTCTCTTTTGTTGTTATTTCTCGGTCTTCCCTTTCTCCCTCCCGCCAAATCATTGCCAGTAGATCGTGGGGGGAAAAAGAGGGGGGGGGAAACACCCACCTCTCGCAGCCCAAGACTACAATATATATCTATTTATTATATGTCTTTCGGTTAATTCCTGATCTGAGGCGCGCTGTTTTTCACTCCCAGGCGAAAGTCACCAGCGGATAGGGCCTGATTGCTACTTTTCATGCATAGTTTTAGACACAAGAGGGCATTGTGACGTCGCGCCCAGCGTTGCCCAGTCGCGGGCCGAGCCCGGCGGCCCCACGTGGGGGCCCCGCGCTCCCATTGGCCAGCGCCAGGCGAAGCTGCCACATTATTTTGTTACTTTTCAGTCCCTATTTGGAACTGCTCTCGCGGCAGTTCAGACCTCGTGCTGGTGCCCCTTGCTTGTCTGTGTGTGGTATCTGCAAGCTCCGGGCACTTTTTTTTTTTTTTCGGGGGAGGGAGGCTGCGTGTCTGTGTGCGTGTGTCGGAGTGTGTTTCGGGGGTTTGTCCGGGCGCCGAGAGGATATCCGGACCGAGGAGAGAGAAGGAAGCCGAAGGGAAAGGAGGACTCCTCGGTCTCCGTCTGCGTCTCGCGTCCAGCGCTCTCCCCGACTGCGCGCACCCAGGCGGCGGCAGAGCCCAGCGCTCCTCGCTGGGGACCCGGCGTTGGGGCTGGAAGCAACGGGAACCCCTTTGCGGAGGCTCCCCGTGTCCGCTGGAGTTAGGATGCCCGAACGCTGATCTGCGCCTCCTGAGCCCGGAGTTTTCTCGCCGCCCTGGACAGAGCTGCCGGCGGCGGCGGCGGCGGCGGCAATAGCATACGGAGCAGCAGGCTCTCCTCTCCGAAGGGGGGCGTCGAAGCGCCCGCACCCAGCACCCGCCTTCACCCTCTGGCGCTCTCCCGGCCTCCAGCCGCCACCTCCGTGCCCGTCTCTTCCCCCTTCCTCCCGGCCGCGAGCTCGGGCCCGGCCGCGCCTGGAATCGGACTCGCGCGCCCCGGATGCCGGCGCTGCCCGCTCTCGGAGCCACGGGCTGAGTGATCCGCGGGGGCCAGGGTTCTTCGCCCGCCCCAGGAGGGGCCCCTGGCCTCGGGACCCCGCGCCGGACCCGCTGCGGAGACGACGATGTCCGAGGAGCCCCCGGCTCTGACGCGCTCCACGCAGCCCGGGGAAGGCGGCCGCCCGCAGCCCGCCGAGCCCTAGGCGCACAAAGCCCGCGCCCGCCCGC